ACTCTCCCAGCTCTACTGACAGCTCTCCCAGCTCTGCAGCTCACTGACAGCTCTCCCAGCTCTACTGAGCAAGCTCTCCCAGCTCTGACTGACATCTCTCCCAGCTCTGCCCCGACAGCTCTCCCAGCTCTGCTGAACCAAGCTCTCCCAGCTCACCACGGCCAGCTCTCCCAGCTCTGCCCGACAGCTCTCCCAGCTCTTCTGACCCAGCTCTCCCAGCTCTACTGACCAGCTCTCCCAGCTACTGACATCTCTCCCAGCTCTGCTGACAGCTCTCCCAGCTCTACTGGCAGCTCTCCCAGCTCTGCTGACAGCTCTCCCAGCTTTACTGACCCAGTCTCTCCCAGCTCTACTGACAAGCTCTCCCAGCTCCTGCTGACAGCTCTCCCAGCTCTTCCTGACATCTCTCCCAGCTCTGCTGACAACTCTCCCAGCTCTGCGACGCTCTCCCAGCTCTGGCTGACACCTCTCCCAGCTCTGCTGACAGCTCTCCCAGCTCTACCTGACAGCTCTCCCCAGCTCTGCTGACAGCTCTCCCGGCTCTGCTGACAGCTCTCCCAGCTCTTCCACGAGGCAAGCTCTCCCAGCTCTACTGACAGCTCTCCCCAGCTCTGCGGCCCAGCTCTCCCAGCTCACCACTGACAGCTCTCCCAGCTCTGCTGACAGCTCTTCCCAGCTCTGCTGACAGCTCTCCCCAGCTCTGCTGACAGCTCTCCCAGCTCTGCTGACCCAGCTCTCCCAGCTCTGCTGACAGCTCTCCCAGCTCTGCGGACAGCTCTCCCAGGCTCTGCAGACCAGCTCTCCCAGCTCTGCTGACAGCTCTCCCCAGCTCTACTGACAGCTCTCCCAGCTCTGCCTCTGCGGCAGCTCTCCCCGCTCTACTGACAGCTCTCTCTGCTCTGCACCCATCTCTCCCAGCTCTGCTGACAACTCTCCCAGCTCTGCTGACAGCTCTCCCAGCTCTGCGACTGCTCTGACCGGCTCAGCTCTCCCCAGCTCTGCTGACGGCTCTCCCAGGCTCTGCTGACAGCTCTCCCCAGCTTTGCAGACAGCTCTCCCAGCTCTGCCGACAGCTCTCCCCAGCTCTGCCTGACAGCTCTGACAGCTCTGACAGCTCTCCCGGCACAGCTCTCCCGGCTCTCCCCCCGGCTCTGCCCAGCTCTCCCGGCTACTGACAGCTCTCCCAGCTCTTCTGACTCTCAGGCTCTGCGACAGCTCTCCTGACAGCTCTCTCCGGCTCTGCGGCTGGCTCTCCCAGCTCTGCTGACGGCTCGCCCAGCTCTGCGGCCAGCTCTGCTGACCAGCTCTCCCCAGCTCTACTGACAGCTCTCCCAGCTCTGCTGACAGCTCTCCCAGCTCTGCTGACAGCTCTCCCGGCTCTTCTGACAGCTCTCCCCGGGCCTCTGCTGACCGACTCTCCCGGCTCTGCCTGACTGCTCTCCCAGCTCTACGGCTGGCTCTCCCAGCTCTACTGACAGCTCTCCCCAGCTCTGCTGACAGCTCTCCCCAGCTCTGCGGAGCCAGCTCTCCCAGCTCTGCTGACAGCTCTCCCAGCTCTGCTGACAGCTCTCCCAGCTCTGCTGACCTCCACAGCTCTCCCAGGCTCTGCGACCCAGCTCTCCCAGGCTCTGCTGACAGCTCTCCCAGCTCTGCTGACAGCTCTCCCAGCTCTGCTGACAGCTCTCCCAGCTCTACTGACAGCTCTCCCAGCTCTGCTGACAGCTCTCCCAGCTCTACTGACAACTCTCCCAGCTCTACTGACAGCTCTCCCAGCTGCTGACATCTCTCCCAGCTCTGCGGACAGCTCTCCCACTGCTCTGGCTGCCAGCTCTCCCAGCTCTGCTGACCAGCTCTCCCCAGCTCTACTGACAACTCTCCCCGGCTCTGCTGACAACTCTCCCAGGCTCTACTGACAGCTCTCCCGGCTCTACGGCTCTCCTGCACAGCTCTCCCAGCTCTACTGACAGCTCTCCCAGCTTTCACTGACATCTCTCCCAGCTCTACTGACTGACAATGCAGCTCTCCCAGCTCTACTGACAAGCTCTCCCAGCTCTTCTGACCCAGCTCTCCCAGACTACTGCTGACAGGCTCTCCCAGCTCTGCACGACCCAGCTCTCCCAGCTCTGCTGACAGCTCTCCCAGCTCTGCCCCGGCAAGCTCTCCCCAACTCTGCTGACAGCTCTCCCCGACGGACAGCTCTCCCAGCTCTGCCCCGGACAAGCTCTCCCAGCTCTGCTGACAGCTCTCCCAGCTCTGCTGACCGGCTCTCCCAACTCTGCTGACAGCTCTCCCAGCTCTGCGGACCAGCTCTCCCAGCTCTGCTGACAGCTCTCCCAGCTCTGCTGACCCAGCTCTCCTGACAGCTCTCCCGGCTGACAGCTCTCCCAGCTCTGCTGACAAGCTCTCCCAGCTCTGCTGACCCAGCTCTCCCAGCTCTACTGACCCAGCTCTCCCAGGCTCTGCTGACCAGCTCTCCCAGCTCTGCCTGGCAGCTCTCCCGGCTCTGCTGACTGCTCTCTCCCAGCTCTACTGACAGCTCTCCCAGCTCTGCGCGACAGCTCTCCCAGCTCTGCTGACATCTCTCCCAGCTCTGCTGACAGCTCTCCCCAGCTCTGCGACAGCTCTCCCAGCTCTGCTGACAGCTCTCCCCAGCTCTGCTGACTGCTCTCCCGGCTCTGCGGGCTCTGGCTCTGACAGCTCTCCCCAGCTCTGCGGGCAGCTCTCCCAGCTCTGCTGACCCAGCTCTCCCAGCTCTGCTGACGTCTCTCCCAGCTCTGCGACAGCTCTCCCAGGCTCTGCTGACAGCTCTCCCAGCTCTGCGGGTAGCTCTCCCCGGCTCTGCTGACAAGCTCTCCCAGCTCTGCTGACGGCTCTCCCAGGCTCTACTGACAGCTCTCCCAGCTCTGCTGACGGCTCTCCCCAGCTCTTCTGACAGCTCTCCCAGCTCTGCGACGGCTCTCCCCAAGCTCTGCTGGCTTGGCCAAGCTCTCCCAGCTCTGCTGACAGCTCTCCCAGCTCTGCAGAGCCAGCTCTCCCAGCTCTGCTGGCACAGCTCTCCCAGCTCTGCTGACAGCTCTCCCCAGGCTCTGCTGACTCTCCCAGGCTCTGCTGACGGCTCTCCCAGCTCTGCACTGACTCCTCCCGGCTCTACTGGGGCTCCGGCTCTCCCCGTCTCTGCTGACGGCTCTCCCCAGCTCTGCGACCAGCTCTCCCGGCTCTGCTGACAGCTCTCCCCAGCTCTGCTGACAGCTCTCCCAGCTCTACTTTCCTCTCTCCCAGCTCTGCTGGCCCAGCTCATTCAGCTCTACTTTGACATTCCTCTCCCAGCTCTTTCCACGGCCTTCTCCCCAGGCTTTGCTGACCCTCTCCAGCTCTTCCCAGCTGCTCTCCAGCTCTCCAGCTCTCCCAGCTCTTTCTGACAGCTCTCCCAGCTCTGCTGACCCAGCTCTCCCAGCTCAGCAACTCTCTTCCAGCTCTACTGACAACTCTCCCAGCTCGACACCCAACTCCCAGCTCTGACAGCTCCCAGGCTCTCCTACCTCTACCTCGGCAGCTCTCCCCAGCTCTACTGAGCCACTCTCCCAGCTCTCTTCCCTGACCCCAACTCTCCCAGGCTCTTCTTTCCTCCCCATGGCTCTACTGACATCTCTCCCCCCGCTCTACTGACAACTCTCCCAGCTCTACTGACAACTCTCCCAGCTCTACTGACCTTCTCTCCCAACTCTGGCAACTCTCCCAGCTCTGCTGGCAACTCTCCCCAGCTCTGCACAGGCCAGCTCTCCCAGCTCTACTGACAACTCTCCCAGCTCTTCTGACCCAGCTCTCCCAGCTCTACTGACAGCTCTCCCAGCTCTACTGAGGCACTCTCCCAGCTCTGCGACTGACAGCTCTCCCAGCTCTCCCAGCTCTGCCTGACAGCTCTCCCAGCTCTGCCCGACCAGCTCTCCCGGCTCTACTGACAGCTCTCCACAGCTCTGCGGCAGCTCTCCCAGCTCTACTGACAGCTCTCCCAGCTCTTCTGACAGCTCTCCCAGCTCTACTGACAGCTCTCCCAGCTCTACTGACGCAGCTCTCCCGGCTCTACTGACAACTCTCCCAGCTCTGCTGACCCAGCTCTCCCAGCTCTGCTGACAGCTCTCCCAGCTCTACTGAGGACAGCTCTCCCAGCTCATCTGCTGACCCAGCTCTCCCAGCTCTACTGACAGCTCTCCCAGCTCTACTGACAGCTCTCCCAGCTCTGCTGACAGCTCTCCGGCTCTACTGACAGCTCTCCCAGCTCTGCTGACAGCTCTCCCAGCTCTACTGACAGCTCTCCCAGCTCTGCTGACAGCTCTCCCAGCTCTGCGACGGCCAGCTCTCCCAGCTCTGCTGACAGCTCTCCCAGCTCTGCACTGCCAGCTCTCCCCAGCTCTGCAGACCCAGCTCTCCCAGCTCTGCTGACATTCTCCCAGCTCTGCTGACCCAGCTCTCCCCGGCCAGCTCTGCTGACAGGCTCTCCCGGCTCTGCTGACCCAGCTCTCCCCAGCTCTGCTGACAGCTCTCCCCGGCTCTGCTGACAGCTCTCCCAGCTCTACTGACAGCTCTCCCGGCTCTGCTGACAGCTCTCCCAGCTCTGCTGACAGCTCTCCCAGCTGCTGACAAGCTCTCCCAGCTCTGCGACAGCTCTCCCAGCTCTGCTGACCCAGCTCTCCCAGCTCTACTGACCCAGCTCTCCCAGCTCTGCTGACAGCTCTCCCAGCTCTGCTGACAGCTCTCCCAGCTCTACTGACAGCTCTCCCAGCTCTGCTGCTCTCAGCTCTCCCAGCTCTCCTGACAGCTCTCCCCAGCTCTGCTGACAACTCTCCCAGCTCTACTGACTGCAGCTCTCCCCGAAGCTCTGCTGACCCAGCTCTCCCAGCTCAGCTGGCTCGGCAAGCTCTCCTGACTCTGCTGACTTCACGGGCTCTCCCCAGCTCTTTTCTGACAGCTCTCCCAGCTCTGCTGACCCAGCTCTCCCAGCTCTACTGACAGCTCTCCCGGCTCTGCCCTCCCAGCTCTCCCAGCTCTACTGTAGCTCTCCCCAGCTCTGCCGGCTCTGACAGCTCTCCCCAGCTCTGCTGACAGCTCTCCCAGCTCTGCCTGGCAGCTCTCCCCAGGCTCTGCTGACCTGCTCTCCCAGCTCTGCTGACAGCTCTCCCAGCTCTGCTGACAGCTCTCCCAGCTCTGCAGGGCCCAGCTCTCCCAGCTCTGCTGACATCTCTCCCAGCTCTGCTGACAGGCTCTCCCCAGCTCTGCTGACCAGGCTCTCCCAGCTCTGCTCTCCCAGCTCTGCTGACCAGCTCTCCCAGCTCTCCCAGCTCTCCCAGGCTCTGCCAGCTCTCCCAGCTCTGCTGACTGCTCTCCTTTGACAGCTCTGCTGACAGCTCTCCCCGGCTCTGCCTGACAGCTCTCCCCGGCTCGCTGACAGCTCTCCCGGCTCTGCTGACAGCTCTCCCCGGCTCTTCTGACTCCCAGCTCTCCCAGCTCTGCTGACCCAGCTCTCCCGGCTCTGCACTGACAGCTCTCCCAGCTCTGCACGACAGCTCTCCCAGCTCTGCTGACAGCTCTCCCAGCTTTTACTGACTCTCCAGCTCTTCTGACAGCTCTCCCAGCTCTGCAGCTGACAACTCTCCCGAGCTCTGCTGACAGCGGCTCTCCAGCTCTACTGACCCAGGCTCTCCCAGCTCTGCAGACAGCTCTCCCTGCGGCTCTGCTGACACGAGCTCTCCCAGCTCTGCGACAGCTCTCAGCTGCCCAGCTCTGCCCCTGGCTGACAGCTCTCCCAGCTCTACTGACAGCTCTCTCTGCTGTGGCTCTCCCGGCTCCTGACAGCTCTCCCAGCTCTGCTGACAGCTCTCCCAGCTCTGCGGGCAGCTCTCCCAAGCTCTGCTGACAGCTCTCCCAGCTCTGCGGCCAGCTCTCCCAGCTCTGCTGACAGCTCTCCCAGCTCTGCTGACCAGGCTCTCCCAGCTCTGCCTGACCCAGCTCTCCCGGCTCTGCTGACAGCTCTCCCCAGCTCTGCGGCGTCTCTCCCAGCTCTGCGGCCCAGCTCTGCCCGGCTCTCCGGCACGGCCGGCTCTCCCAGCTCTGCTGCCCAGCTCTCCCAGCTCTGCGGCCAGCTCTCCGGCGGCTTTGACAGCTCTCCCGGCTCTACTGACCAGCTCTCCCAGCTCTGCGGCCAGCCCAGCTCTCCCGGCACTGACTGACCCAGCTCTCCCGGCTCTGCTCAGGCTCTCCGGGACAGCTCTCCCAGCTCTCCGCTGCTCCCAGCTCTCCCAGCTCTGCCGGCAGCTCTCCCGGCTCTCCCAGCTGCGGCGTCTCTCCCAGCTCTGCTGACAGCTCTCCCAGCTCTGCTGACCCAGCTCTCCCAGCTCTGCTGACCGGCTCTCCAAGCTCTACTGACAGCTCTCCGGCTCTGCTGACCAGCTCTCCCCGGCTCTGCTGAACTAGCTCTCCCGGCTCTACTGACAGCTCTCAGCTCTCCGCGACGGCTCTCCCAGCTCTGCTTTGGGCCAGCTCTCCCAGCTCTGCTGACATCTCTCCCAGCTCTGCCCGACCCAGCTCTCCCAGCTCTGCGGCTCTCTCCACGGCTCTGCTGCGGCAGCTCTCCCGGCTCTGCGGACTGGCTCTCCCGGCTCTGCTGAGCCAGTCTCTCCCCGGCTCTGCTGACCCAGCTCTCCCCTCTGCTGACCAAGCTCCCGGCTCTGCTGACAGCTCTCCTGCTCTGCTGACCAGCTCTCCCAGCTCTGCTGACAGCTCTCTCCCAGCTCTGCTGACGGCTCTCCCGGCTGCTGACGGCTCTCCCGGCTCTGCGGTTCCTCTCCCCGGCTCTGCCCTGACCAGCTCTCCCAGCTCTGCTGATGGCTCTCCCGGCTCTGCTGACCGGCTCTCCCAGCTCTGCTGACATCTCTCCCAGCTCTGCTGACACAAACTCTCCCAGCTCTGCCTGACAACTCTCCCAACTTCTACTGACAACTCTCCCAGCTCTCCTTTCCAACTCTGGCATCTCTGCCAGACTTCAGCTCTCCCAGCTCTACTGACAACTCTCCCAGCTCTACTGACAACTCTCCCAGCTCTTCGCTCTGACAACTCTCCCAGGCTCTCACTGACAACTCTCCCCAGCTCTACTGACAGCTCTCTCCCAGCTCTACTGACCTGGCTCTCCCAGCTCTACTGGACAACTCTCCCAGCTCTACCGCGACAACTCTCCCAGCTCTTCCTGACAACTCTCCCAGCTCTCTCCTGACAGCTCTCCCAGCTCTGCTGGACAACTCTCCCAGCTCTACTGACAACTCTCCCAGCTCTACTGGCCACTCTCCCCAGCTCTACTGACAGCTCTACCAGCTCTCCCAGCTCTACTGACAGCTCTCCCAGCTCTGCTGACAACTCTCCCAGCTCTGCTGACAGCTCTCCCAGCTCTACTGACAGCTCTCCCAGCTCTACTGACATCTCTCCCAGCTCTCCTGACAGCTCTCCCAGCTCTCCACTGACAGCTCTCCCAGCTCTGCTGACAGCTCTCCCAGCTCTACTGACAGCTCTCCCAGCTCTACTGACAGCTCTCCCAGCTCTGCTGACAGCTCTCCCAGCTCTGCTGCAACTCTCCCAACTCTACTGACAGCTCTCCCAGCTCTGCTGACAGCTCTCCCAGCTCTGCTGACAGCTCTCCCAGCTCTGCTGACAGCTCTCCCAGCTCTGCTGACAGCTCTCCCAGCTCTACTGACAGCTCTCCCAGCTCTGCTGACAGCTCTCCCAGCTCTACTGACAACTCTCCCAGCTCTGCTGACAGCTCTCCCAGCTCTACTGACAGCTCTCCCAGCTCTACTGACCAGCTCCCAGCTCTGCTGACATCTCTCCCAGCTCTACTGGCAGCTCTCCCAGCTCTGCTGACAGCTCTCCCAGCTCTGCTGACAGCTCTCCCAGCTCTGCTGACAGCTCTCCCAGCTCTACTGACAAGCTCTCCCAGCTCTGCCTGACAGACAGCTCTCCCAGCTCTGCTGACAGCTCTCCCAGCTCTACTGACAGCTCTCCCAGCTCTACTGACAGCTCTCCCAGCTCTGCTGACCCAGCTCTCCCAGCTCTGCTGACCCAGCTCTCCCAGCTCTGCTGACAGCTCTCCCAGCTCTGCTGACAGCTCTCCCAGCTCTGCTGACAGCTCTCCCAGCTCTTCTGACAGCTCTCCCAGCTCTGCTGCTCTCCCAGCTCTGCTCTCCCAGCTCTGCCCAGCTCTACTGACAGCTCTCCCAGCTCTGCTGACAGCTCTCCCAGCTCTGCTGACAGCTCTCCCAGCTCTGCTGACAGCTCTCCCAGCTCTACTGACAGCTCTCCCAGCTCTGCTGACAGCTCTCCCAGCTCTGCTGGCACTGACTCTCCCCAGCTCTGCTGACAGCTCTCCCAGCTCTACTGACAGCTCTCCCAGCTCTGCTGACAGCTCTCCCAGCTCTGCTGACAGCTCTCCCAGCTCTACTGACAGCTCTCCCAGCTCTGCTGACAGCTCTCCCAGCTCTACTGACAGCTCTCCCAGCTCTGCTCTCCCAGCTCTGCTGACAGCTCTCCCAGCTCTGCTGACAGCTCTCCCAGCTCTGCTGACAGCTCTCCCAGCTCTGCTGACCCAGCTCTCCCAGCTCTGCTGACAGCTCTCCCAGCTCTGCTGACAGCTCTCCCAGCTCTACTGACAGCTCTCCCCAGCTCTGCTGACAAGCTCTCTCCCAGCTCTGCAGCTCTCTCTCCCAGCTCTACTGACAGCTCTCCCAGCTCTACTGACAGCTCTCCCAGCTCTGCTGACAGCTCTCCCAGCTCTGCTGACAGCTCTCCCAGCTCTGCTGACAGCTCTCCCAGCTCTGCTGACAGCTCTCCCAGCTCTGCTGACAGCTCTCCCAGCTCTGCTGACAGCTCTCCCAGCTCTGCTGACAGCTCTCCCAGCTCTACTGACAGCTCTCCCAACTCTCCCACTGACAAGCTCTCCCAGCTCTGACTGACAGCTCTCCCAGCTCTGCTGACAGCTCTCCCAGCTCTACTGACAGCTCTCCCAACTCTGCTGACAGCTCTCCCAGCTCTGCTGACAGCTCTCCCAGCTCTACTGACAACTCTCCCAACTCTGCTGACAGCTCTCCCAGCTCTCTGACAGCTGACCCGGCTCTCTGGCAGCTCTACTCTCCCCAGCTCTACTGACAGCTCTCCCAGCTCTGCTGACAACTCTCCCAGCTCTGCTGACAGCTCTCCCAGCTCTGCTGACAGCTCTCCCAGCTCTGCTGACAACTCTCCCAGCTCTGCTGACAGCTCTCCCAGCTCTACTGACAGCTCTCCCAGCTCTGCTGACAGCTCTCCCAGCTCTGCTGACAACTCTCCCAGCTCTACTGACAACTCTCCCAGCTCTACTGACAGCTCTCCCAGCTCTACTGACAGCTCTCCCAGCTCTGCTGACAGCTCTCCCAGCTCTACTGACAACTCTCCCCAGCTCTACTGACAGCTCTCCCAGCTCTACTGACAGCTCTCCCAGCTCTGCTGACAGCTCTCCCAGCTCTGCTGACAACTCTCCCAGCTCTGCTGACAACTCTCCCAACTCTACTGACAACTCTCCCAGCTCTGCTGACAGCTCTCCCAGCTCTACTGACAGCTCTCCCCAGCTTTGCTGACAGCTCTCCCCAGCCTGACAGCTCTCCCAGCTCTACTGACAACTCTCCCAGCTCTGCTGACAACTCTCCAACTCTACTGAGCTCTCCCAGCTCTGCAGCTCTCCCAGCTCTGCTGACAACTCTCCCAGCTCTACTGACAACTCTCCCAGCTCTGACATCCTCTCCCAGCTCTACTGACAGCTCTCCCAGCTCTGCTCTGCTGACAGCTCTCCCAGCTCTACTGACAACTCTCCCAACTCTACTGACAACACTTCCAGCTCTGACATCCCTCCCAGCTCTACTGACAACTCTCCCAACTCTACTGACAACTCTCCCAACTCTACTGACAACACTTCCAGCTCTGACATCCCTCCCAGCTCTGCTGACATCTCTCCCAACTCTACTGACAACTCTCCCAACTCTACTGACATCTCTTCCAGCTGTGACAACTCTCCCAGCTCGACTGACAACCCTCCCAGCTCTACTGACTTCCCTCCTAGCTCTTCTGACATCACTCCCAACTCTACTGACATCAGTGTGTTTTTTGGGTGGTGTGTGTATGGTATGTACTTTGGTGTTGTGTGTTTAATGTGTTTTTGGGGTGCTGTGTGCATAGCGTGCATTTCGGGCGGTGTGTGTGTATTTTATATTCCGGGTGTATAGAGTGTGTTTTGGGTGCTGTGTGCATAGTGTGTATTTGGGTGTTGTGTGTATAGTGTGTATTTGTCGTGCTGTGTGTATAGCGTGTTTTGGGGTGCTGTGTGTATAGTCTGTGTTTGGGGTGCTGTGTGTATAGTGTGCATTTGGGGTGCTGTTTGCATAGTGTGTATTGGGGGTGCTGTTTGCATAGTGTGTATTTGAGGTGTTGAATGTTAATGTGTTTATCCGGTGATGTGTGTATAGTGTGAATTTGAGTGCTGTGTGTATAGTGTGTTTTTCTTGTTTTGTGTGTATAGCGTGTATTTGAGAGCTGTGTGTATAGTGTGTTTTACTTATTTTGTGTGTATAGTGTGTATTTGGGTGCTGTGTGTATAGTGTGTTTTTCGTGTTTTGTGTGTATAGTGTGTATTTGGGTGCTGTGTGTATAGTGTGTTTTTCTTGTTTTGTGTGTATAGTGTGTATTTGAGTGCTGTGTGTATAGTGTGTTTTTCTGGTTGTGTGTGTATAGCGTGTATTTGAGTGCTGTGTGTATAGCGTGTTCTTGTTTTGTGTGTATAGCGTGTATTTGGGTGCTGTGTGTATAGTGTTTTTTTCTTGTTTTGTGTGTACAGCGTGTATTTGGGTGCTGTGTGTTTAATGTTTTTATCCGGTGATGTGTGTATAGTGTGTATTTGGGTGAGGTGTGTATAGTGTGTTTTTCTTGTTTTGTGTGTATGGTGTGTATTTGGATGCTGTTTGTATAGTGTGTATTTGTCGTGCTGTATGTATAGTGTGTTTTTTGGGTGCTGCTTGTATAGTGTGTATTTGTAGTGCTGTGTGTATAGTGTGTTTTTGGGGGGTTGTGTGTATAATGTGTTTTTCTTGTTTTGTGTGTATAGTGTGTATTTGGGTGCTGTGTGTATAGTGTGTTTTTTTGTTTTGTGTGTATGGTGTGTATTTGGGTGCTGTTTGTATAGTGTGTATTTGTAGTGCTGTTTGTATAGTGTGTATTTGAGTGCTGTGTGTATAGTGTGTATTTGTGTGCTGTGTGTATAGTGTGTTTTTCTTGTTTTGTGTATAGTGTGTATTTGCCGTGCTGTGTGTATAGTGTGTATTTGTCGTGATGTGTGTATAGTGTGTTTTTGGGGTGAGATGTGTAAAGTATGTATGGGCGTTGTGTGTATAGTGCGTATTTGGGGTGATGTGTGTGTAGTGTGTGTTTGGGGTGCTGTGTGTATAGTGTGTATTTGTCATGCTGTGTGTAAAGTTTGTATTTGGGGTATTTGTTGCAAGGTGTGTATTTGGGGTACTGTGTGTATAGTTTGTATTTGGGGTTCTGTGTGTATAGTGTGTATTTGAGGTGATGTGTGTATAGTGTGAATTTGGGGTATTTTTTGCATGGTGAGTATTTGAGGTGCTGTGTGCATAGCTTGTATTTAGGGATCTGTGTGCATAGAGTGTATTTGAGGTAGTGTGTGTGTAGTGTGTATTTTAGGTGGTGTGTGTATAGTGTGTATTTGGGGTTCTTTGTGCATAGTGTGTATTTGGGGTGCTGTGTGTATAGTTTGTATTTGGGGTGCTGTGTGTATAGTTTGTATTTGGGTTACTTTTTGCATAGTGTGTATACAGTGTGTATTTGGGGTAGTGTGTGCATAGT